AGCTATTTTGAAACTGCACACGTCATTTTATTGAGCACGGCCGTGCGTACATAAAGATTTTGTTCATGTTGACGTAATAGGAATTAGATAGGACCAGCGCGCGCGCTATGTTATAATTCCTTTTGGTTCAACATTCCGAGGAGAGTTTGTTGCCTTTGCGGTGTTTTCTTCGCTTTTGATTGGCACGATTTAAAATGATCTAAGAGAGAAGTAGAGAGTTAAAAGTAACACCTCGTTGACCTGGAATCAAAATCATTGAACTGTCGTGCAATTGTTAGATAGCTGGTTCATTCTTGCGCTGCTATTCTCATCAAAATGTAAAAGACCACAGAAATCAGTTCGGTATACCGTATGTTATGCTGTCTGCTCTCATTCATCTTTCTCGTTTTATACAAACGACCCTGACGGGTATAAAAATTCAAAGTAAAGTGAACAAATGTTAAATAAAGAGTCACTTACGACCTTGAAAGTACGATATTCTTCCCTTCAGACTAGAATCAAGGCGCAGCAGAACTTCACTCCGGCAGATCCCAGATTTAATTTTCTATTCCCAGAGTACAGTTTCCTTATTGCGTTTCAAGTGAACCTTCTCTCCGTAAACCAACTCACCGCTAGCCAGTTTTTTTTAGCTCTGAAAAGAATGTCATAGTCATTAATGTATGAACCACTAAAACAAAATTTAGTTAATGAGGAATCTGGTTTAAAAGGGCCACTTGGATCAATGTTACACTCAGCGGTTATACTTATAGGTCAGCGTGTTGCTCTCTACTTAAGATGGTTTACATCTACAAAAAATACATCTACAGAAATGCATCTACAAAACCTAAATAGTCTTCGATGTCGGTTTAGTAGATGTATTTCTGTTATTAGTAAAGGTACTGTACTCCCTAATTTTATAGCCTGCGGCAAAAAGGGCCACCCCTCGTCGGTTTCAGCTACTGGGGACGTTTAACAAATCAAAACGCACAATTTAGAACCTTGCAATAGCGAATGCCGGAAGGATTATAAGAAGCGGCTGTATTTAGAAGAAAACAACAATCAACCAAAGAAAAACCCTCAAAATTAAACAGAAACAAATGTTGTGGGGGTTTTACCACTCGCTTGGCGAATTAACGAAAGGTACTGAGACTCTGTAATTTTGTTCTTTATTCTCCTATAGTGCTGCTTCTACTACAGCTAATTTTCTCTCTCTTGTTCCACTTCTTATTTCTACTACTTTCAGCAAGGAGTGCTCCAGTATTAAATACAAAAATCACAGACATGTTTGGGTTAGCTAACCGTGGGAATTTCCAAAACAGGATGTTCAGTGTGGGTAAGACTCAAGGTCAGTTTTACCAACTCAAACATGACCACCTAGCAAACTAGTTATCCTCAACCATAACAAGAGATTAAAATGTCTAGCACGGTAAGTGCTGAGCCAAGTTCAAGCACACACTAAAAATAAATGATCAAAACTATAGATTCATCAAAATAGCACGTAGGGGCGAAAAGGCAAGACTTATAAAACAAAAGGGAAACCTAAAAAATACTTGAAATATCAATCCTTGAAAACGCTCTACAACACAAACAAGCATGGTCTGCAGTGAAATGTCTGGTTAGGTCACTGGTTTGTCTGGAAACGTGATGGAGACATGATGCCACGCGAAATTGCCCTTACTAATAACTGATATTAGCTGTGGTTACACTAGACCTTTTGCCCACGGGAAAGTGTGACTTTACCCACGGGAAGTCTGTGTTTTGTGTGTGACCTCTATTCCCACAGTGAAACTGCCCATGGGAAATCGCTATGGATACATCAAAAGGAACAAAAGAATTACCCATGACGTTTCCCGAACCAAGTCGTAGGGTTTAGCAGTGGTTTATCTAACCGTAAGAGTAGTTCAACCAGTCGGATGGAAGAAAATACTAAGTCCGGAAACCGCAGCACATGCTGGGCATTTTTGTGGTGTTGCGCTGAAATCGAAGGAAATATCCTCGCAAGTACCAAATTCAAGACACGCAGCATCAAACATGGCCAACTTTCGAGGTTCACATTAAGTATATTTTACTCGTCTTTGCTCTGAATACTCCAATAAAAACCATAAGTTTCGCGGTTTGTGATCTCCATGATGAATTAATTTCCCTCCAAACACTGCTAGGTCAAAAGTTGACCTCGGGTTATCATTTGCGATGTAATGGGAGGATTAAACCTGACCGGAAACCCAAACCCATCCCAATCCAAGGTTATTACCCACAGGGTTACCTCGGGTAGGAGGTGAGTGTAACCACAGCTATTAATAGACCATAGAAAAGCGTCATTTTTTACAGTCGAAGTTCTCGCAATTCATTGTCTTCATTCGCAATGTAGTCAATGAATTGAATGACAATGAATGTAAACAATTGAATTTTTGTAGTTCCAAAAGTCTAAATTAGTAAAGGCAAGAAACAGAACTTACCTAACTGTTTCCCTGACGGACTTTAATGTCTTCTCGTTCCGTGGAAGTTGTGCCCGAAATTTCTCCTTACGAAGAAACGAATTTTCGCTCTTCCCCTTCTCATAAAACAAAGCTACGCAGCTAATAAGATCGACAACATCATTGTTGATGTTAACGGAAATCGCCAGGGCGCGTTAAACTACGCAAACGATAACTTAGCTAGTCTTCCTACAGGCAGCCCAAGCTCACTATTAGAAAAGCGGACGTGACTCTTACCGTGTTGCGCAACGTTTTATATTATAAAGGTTTGTGTGGGATGCTATCGGTTTGCCTTAAAAGAGAGAATAAAATGCCTTGTTTTGAAATAAAATAGGCTTACCTTATTGTTTTCTTTGTTGATTCCTAGCGTCTCAGGCCATTTTGAAGCGTTTTCGGCGAGTTAGGGCTATGTTGGTGTTCAACTGCTAAAAGACTTAGCTAAAAGTCTTTTAGCAGTTGAACACCAACATAGCGCTAACTGGCCGAAAAAGCTTCAAAATGGCCTGAGACGCTAGGAATCAACAAAGAAAACAACAAGGCAATAAGGTAAGCCCATTTTATTTCAAAACAAGACATTTTTTTCTCTCTTTTAAGGCAAACCGATAACATCCCATACAAACCTTTATAAATATAAAACGTTGCGCAACACGGTAAGAGTCACGTCCGCTTTTCTAGTAGTGAGCTTGGGCTGCCTGTGCTT